ATTTCCTCTCGCTGATCCAAACTTAAGCCCATTGTTTCTCAATTTTCTTAGCACAGGATGCTCTTAATGCGATCACTTAAATCACTTGTATATTCGTAATCGGTCCCTCATTTTGTGTGTCTGTGATGGTACTTTACTAACCTGTAATTAAACCCTTGTTTAACTGATTTTATCGAGATGCAAATCTCTCTCAAGTTCACCCAACGTTTGTTCCTTTCAGCCTAATGTGCCTGTGATCACAGTTACTATTTTTGAGTACAAGATGTGCTGTTAACCGATACAAAAATGTCATTTAACCCCCTGCGTGCTCCCACTTCCAACTAGTTTGTTTATTTCGGACGTGTTGGCTGTGGGTGGCCCTTTCCCCTCCCCTTGTCCCCCCATCCATCCCTCCCCCGGGGCTCGGTGCGCGCTGTCCCCGGGGTGAGCGTGTCGGGCGCGGAGGGGCGCGGAGCGGGGCGCGCCGGTGSCGGCACGTGTGCGCGTTACATAAAGCACGGCCACGGCCGGGGGGCAAGGGGGGACCCCGCTGGGGGGCACTTTCTGCCTCCCTCCTCACTTTGTGCTTGTGTTTCTTGTGCACGCCGCGTTCGCCCTGCGAACTCTGGTAAGAACGAGTTAAGTTCTTAGAGATCACATTGCGGACCATCTTGTTGGTTTGCAGGTCCCCCAGTGGCTGTTGGCATGAACATAGACATTGCCAGTATAGATATGGTCTCGGAAGTCAATATGGTGAGTATTTAGGGTTTGGGGCTGCTTGCATTCGGGGAGGGGGGGTTGCCGAGGCGGAGCGGTGCCCGCGGGCGTGCGGGGACCCGGCACGGCCTCCTGCCCGGGGAGCCGGCGGGGCGGGGCGGGGCGCGGCGGGCGCTCGGGGGGGTGGATCAGGGGCTGTTCGGTGCCGGGATGCCGGGGCGGTGGATCCGGAGCCGTTCGGGGCCGTTCGGGGCCGGCTCCGCTCCTGCCGCACTCCCGGGCCGCTCCCGCTGCCGCTGCCGCTCCGCCCGCGCCGCCTTCCCGCGAGCAACGGCGCCCCCTGCCGGCCGCTCCCGCTCCCCGCGCCCGCGCACCCCCGCGCTCCGCTCCGCACCTCTCGCTCCTCTCGCCCCTCTCGCTCCTCTCCGCTCCTCTCCGCGCCTTTCCCGGGGCCTTTCTGCCGTGCCACGGGGAAAAAACACCCGGCAACAAAAGGTCCCTTTCGACTAAAAGCAGAAAAAAACAGGTTTTTGCTTCAGCTGTGTTCAAAACTTACCTTTTTCTCCCCCCAGCCATTATTTTGSATGGTGATGAAAGAGGCGATGATTTTACAGGTTTTATTTATCCAGATGTTTGTTTCTTTTACCCAAATACTTGGAGCTGACTGTGCTCAAGCACTGAGCTTGTTCAAAGCGTAATACACTTGACACTTTCTGTGTTTCACTATCATCACCTGGGAGACTAATGAGGTGTGGAGGAAATTGGACAAGTCTGATTCATACTTTGGAAGAAACTGTTCTTGACTTAGATGAAACTTTACCAACATTCACTTCTCTTATTTGGAAGTGTTTGTGGTCGAGTTCTGAAGTTTTTATCTTAACTTGCACGATAATTGGTTGAGAATGCAGAATTTGGCCTAATATTTACAGGGGCCTAGAGGAGAAGGACAAAAGATTCTGAAACATAGTAGCACATGATACAAAAATGATACAAAATAAATGTGGTTTTCTCAAGCATTTGTGAAGTTGTTTGAAGCAAGCATCATTTTTAAGAGGTTTCAAGTAAATACCTTTCTAAATACCAATGTGATTTTARGGCTATTGCTGTAGCTGTAACAATGCATTTGAAAGTAACACCTGGAAAGTTATCRGTGGTTTTAATGTTATTGTACTACTGAAATATTTAATTCCTCAGTGTTGTGCTTGGGTTCTTAGAAGTGTTACACTAAATGAATTGGCAAACATTGTTCTCAAACTGGATGACTTGTGTGATGCACAGGAGTTTTTCCRTGATGTAAAATACAGCCCTTGGCCTAATTTGAGGATGACATTACAGGTGGCTTTACTGTGAGACAGGGAGGTGTTGGTGACAGAGAGCTTGGTGCTGCTCTTTTTCAAGATACCAGGAAACCTGAACAATTTCACCTTCACATTACTTATGGAAARTTTCTAGGTGGCTAAAAGGGGCTTCCAAACTTTGTATCACTAAACTTGTGTTTTAGTATTCTAYCTTCAGGAAGTGAAGTGCAGAAGAAGAAAATTGAATTGTATTTTAAACCACTTGCTTTTCATTAGGAGAGCTGTAGGTAGGAGGAACAGGGCCATAGAGTTGTTTCTTAGACAGCCCTGAGCAGTGAGGGAATGATGGGGGTTCCTTGCTGGAACTGTCAGCATTATATCCTCACATCCCTTCAGAACTGGAAGGTTGTCCTGAAAAGATTGTAAAAATACTTGAGGATCTTTTCTTTGATTCTTTAAATGGTTTCTAGACATTTGGTCTCCAATTAAAGGTTCTAGCATATCACAATACTGTGATCTGATGCAGCCTCCTGACTATATAATGGAGCATTATTTTTAGTGTTCTGTAGTCAGTTTATTGTCTTTCTATAATGAAATGTTTGACCTTYCTGAAAAAAGTATTTTCAGACTCTCTGCAGAACTCTGAGGAGGGAATGTATAGACAATTTTGTCCTACTAATTTGCCTAAAGCATTTAAGCTCTGGGCTTATTTTACTCTAAGAAGCCACCTATTTCTCAAACCCAGGCAATCATGTTACATAATTTTTTTTTCCACTTACAGTTTCAGAAGAGATTCCAAACCAAGATTATAATCTGCTTAATTGCAAAATGTAACACTTGATTTTACAATGGTCTGTGTAACATAGCAAGTACTGATATACCCTGTTAGACCTGAAATGAATGAGGAGAGAGACATACAAGGAAACAACAAAATACTTTTCTGCAAAGCCTTGGCTTTTTTGCTTGCAAATTCACCAGAGTTTGGAGTAGAAACTTGGAGGAATACCATGGAATGCCAGCTGATACAAAGCCTTCTGAGATAAAGAGWGACATGGAAAGAGTCTTTTGGATTTGTGGACCGATTTTTTCTAAACATGGCCTTGCTGTAGCTTTGTTTGTAGTCATGGCAAACACTACTGACTTTAGATCAAGGCAGATCATTGCCTGGAGTCATGTTCTAACATTAATGGGATCAAACTTCTGCCTTGGGAGAAAGGCTAAATAATTATATTACTCTGCTTGAGATAATTTCTATTAATTTTAGCGTTAACTTTTAAAAAATTACATTTCTTTTTCTGTCTTGATATATTGCATTTACCATATAAATTTGTCCYACTCTGCAGGCAGAAGGTTTATCTCCTGTGTCATGAAGTAAATCATGAAGTTTTCACTTTGTTGAACAGGATAATTAAWAGTTGCTGTTATAGAAAGCAAAAGTGTGTTAAGGATGCTCAAGAATATTATTGTTGACTTTAAATTCTTGAGGAGTTGATAAGTACTTGCATCATAAAGAGTGTATTAGGCTTTACAGGTGCCTTACAATTATTTTTCTTCTGCAACAGAGCTGAAACTTGTGTAGGCAGAAACTTAAACTAGCATTTATCTGAGTTTACAGAAATGCTTTCAAAGTACTGGTACTTGTGAACATAATTTGTTCCAGCTGTGGGGAATGCCCTGAATGCACATGAGAAAAGTGAGAACTTCAAGAGTACGTGGTTGTCAACAAATGTCATGGCTGCTTGGACTAATTTCTTTGTATTCCACAAAGAAAAAATATAGAGCAGGTATTTTATAGAGTACAGTAATAATTATGGCTAATTCCACTCACCTCTCTGGACCAGTCCTGCAGTATTGAGGAGTGTATCCTTTATTCTAACAATACTATAGATTTTCTTAAGGTTTCCCTTACTCAGGTTACAAGAGAATAAAGATGGAGAGGTGTGAAGGCGCTAAAAGGGTTTTCCTGGGCTAAGGAATGTGATGTTATGTAAGATCAGTTGTGTTGCACTGAGTCTAATGCAATGTTCTCATGACAGTTTCCAGGTGTTTCTTRCTGTACTTGAATTTTCTTCTGTGCTTCCTTTTCCTCAATACAAACCATTCATTGTAAAAAAATATCTTCAGAAATGTTTAATAGGATCTTTTTTCTTTTTCCTTTTTCTTTTTCTTTTTAATTTTTTTAATAAGCAGTGCTAGCCAGGATGTCACATTTTCCATTTTCCTCTCAGTTAATTTTTGGAGTAGACTCCTTCACAATGCAGCAGTGAAGACTGTTCTCCATTCTCATTTTCCTCCCAACTATTCCCTCTTAAAATCTGTAAAAATTGGTACAGGTTCATTCAGAAATAAATAAGAAGTAAATTAAGAAACAAATTTTCTTCCCTAGACACCTTGAAGATTCTGCATAACATGTTTTGCATTTGATCTATSTAGCTAAGACATGAGGATTCCTGTGGATAATGTTGGTCATGTGTTAGTTTTCAATGTCTTGGCTTATTCCCTATTTAATAGGTCAACATTTCCTTCCTTTTTTTTTTCCCCTTTTTTTTTCCTCTTGGTCTGTGGCTATTCTGGGATTTTAGTACAGAATGTCTTGAAAAGAGAGAGAAATATTCTGTAGCTCTGGATTTTACTCAGGAAATGCACCCTTTCTGAGGAAATGGCTTGTATGTGTAATTAAATGTAACTATTCACACCGTGGGTCAGTGGACTCTGCAGAGAGGAATCAGAACTGTTYATTTAATTCCAAGTGTTTTCTTGCTTAGGGTTTGGGCACATGGAGTCAGTGGYGTGTGTGGAGTTAGAGAGATGGATGGGTTTGTCTTCCTGGGAGCCATTTCGGTTGATTGAGAACATAATCCTTCCATCAAGTAGGAGCTGGAGAAACAAAGGAGCTGTTACCATCTATCAGGGAAAGGTTTGCTTCTTGGTGTGTGCCAAGTTTTACACAGCAGAGCCTAGGAGCTTCAAAGTTCTAAGACGAAAAGCTTTATCTTTTTTTTTTTTTTTTTCTTTTTTCCTTTTTGTAATACTATATTTTACTTCTGTGTGTGAGTTAGGCCAAAGTTGCATAACCATTAAGTGCAATACTCGTAGATCAAAATATTCTTAGTCTAAAAATGTGCAGGAATTTGCTGATAGACCTCTGATTTTGAGTTGCTCTTGATAATGGAGRCCTACTACTGGTTTTCTTAAAATCTCTCATTTTTCTTGAGGTGTTTTTAGTAGGGGTCATTAACAAAGCTCGAGGTTTAGATTTTGGAATGGGTTTAGAGAATGAATACAACAGGATGTGCTGCTGCCTCTCAAGTAGCAGCAATTATCTTCATGTGTATGAAGGGAAGAGATATCTTGTGATACAAAAAAATAGGAATTAAGGGGTAAGGAAATAGGGTGGGGCTGTTCCAAACCCTAAAACTCCATGGAAAAGTCCTGGTAGAGAAAAATGAAAACAGCAAAACGTGTCCTGTATACACTGGTGTAGAAAGACGTGAGGAAAATGGTGATGAAAATGGTTTCTGTCAGCAATATCTTCTTTTGTCAATCCATTCGAGTTGTTTATGCTGCTACACATAATCTATAGAGAGAAAAAGGAGAGGACAGGACTGAAAATGCATTGAAAATGAAATTGGAATATCAGGAAGGTGCTGCTTCGCTAAATACTTCTGCTGTCAGAGACAGTTGGTTTTATTATTTTCTCTGTGTCATAAATGCATATGTTTCTTCACATAAAATTGC